AAAGTGGTATCAAGAAAGATTCCAAGTGTTTCTTCTGTAAAAAGAAGGGACACATGAAGAAGGAATGCGCCAAATTTCAGAAATGGCTTGCGGACAAAGGTAATCCAACCTCATTTGTTTGTTATGAATCTAATATGGTTAATGTCAATATTAACACATGGTGGATTGATTCTGGATCAACAATCCACATTTCAAATTCCTTGCAGGGTTTGCAAAACCTAAGGAAGCCAGTGGGAAGTGAGCAAAGCATCTTATCAGGAAACAAGATGGGCTCGCATGTGGAAGCTGTAGGAACTTGCTATTTAATTTTAAGTAGTGGCTTTGTTTTAATGTTAGAAAAGACCTTTTATGTTCCAAGTTTTTCTAGAAACTTGATTTCAGTTTCAAGGCTTGTACCCTTTGGATATTCCTTTAATTTTTCAGATTCATCTTTCAACTTATTTTATAAATCTGATTGTGTTGGGAATGGTACTTTGTCTGATGGTCTTTACTGCATTAATTTACAAAACAATGCCACTTATGATTCAATGCATGTTCACATTGGCACTAAAAGATGTGTTATTAATGAGGACTCCTCTAAATTATGGCACCAGAGATTAGGACATATCTCTATAGATAGAATTAAAAGATTAGTAAATGAAGGAGTACTTAATACTCTAGATTTTACTGATTTTGAGACTTGTGTGGACTGCATAAAGGGAAAGTAGACCAACAAGTCAAAGAAAGGTGCCAATAGGAGTTCAAACATATTAGAGATCATACATACTGATATATGTAGTCCAGACATGGACTCATATGGTCAGAAATACTTCATCTCTTTTATAGATGATTACTCACGATATATGTATCTCTACATGCTTCATAACAAGTACGAAACATTAGATGCCTTTAAAATCTTTAAGGCTGAAATAGAGGAACAATGTGGTAAGCAAATTAAGATCATAAGATCAGATAGAGGTGGAGAATATTATGGTAGATACACAGAGGATGGATAAGCACCTGGACCATTTGCAAAGTTTCTTCAAGATCATGGGATTGTTGCCCAATACACCAACCTTGGTTCACCGGACCAGAATGGTGTAGCTAAAAGAAGAAACCAAACATTGTTGGACATGGTGCGGAGTATGCTTAGCAGCTCCAATCTTCCTAAATCCTTGTGGGTTGAAGCACTTAAGATTTCATTGTATATATTGAACCGAGTTCCAACCAAGGCTGTTCCTAAAACGCCATTTGAATTATGGAAAGGTTGGAAACCGAGTTTGCGACATATGCGTGTTTGGGGATGCCCGCTGAGGTGAGAATTTATAATCCACAAGAGAAGAAGCTAGACCCAAGGACCATTACTGGGTATTTCATTAGATATGCTGAAAGGTCTAAAGGTTACAGATTTTATTGTCCATCTCACAGCACTAGGATTGTGGAATTAAGAAATGCAAAGTTTCTTGAAAATGACTTGATCAGCGGGAGCGATCAGACCAGGAACATAGTTTCTAAGAATGATCATTAAGAATCTCAACCTTCCACCTCAAGTGATAAATTGGTTATTGTTTACAGCACCCCTCAAGTACAAACTGGTGTTGAACAACCAATCATTGAAGTTCCCCAAGTTGCTGACAACATTCCAGTAGATCAGGTAGTTCAAGAGTTGCCAAGAACTTTTGAACAACGAGTTAAACCACATACTTCTCCGGAATATGATGGTACAACATTAAGAAGATCTGCTAGACCAAGGAGATCAGCAATTCCTAATGATTATGTTGTGTATCTGCAAGAATCTAACTATAACATTGGAGCCGAAAATGATCCCGAGTTCTTTTCAAAAGCCATGAGTTGCAAAGAATCATAATTATGGTACAATGCCATGAAGGAAGAGATGAATTCTATGAAGAGTAACGAAGTCTGGGATCTTGTTGAGTTGCCTAATGGTGTAAAAGCCATTGGATGTAAATGGGTCTTTAAGACAAAGAAGGACTCATTGGGCAACATTGAGAGATACAAGGCTAGACTCGTTGCTAAGGGATTCACTCAGAAAGAAGGAATCGATTACACGGAGACTTTCTCTCCTGTATCTAAGAAAGATTCTTTGCGTGTGATTTTGGCATTAGTAGCTAATTTTAACTTAGAGTTGCAACAAATGGATGTGAAAACGACATTTCTTAATCGAGACCTAGAGGAGAAGGTTTATATGAAACAACCTGAAGGATTTTCCTCTAGTGATGGTGAGCACTTGGTTTGTAAGCTCAAGAAATCTATATATGGTCTAAAACAAGCATCCCACCAATGGTATTTTAAATTCCATGGGGTAATTACTTCATTCGGTTTTGTTGAAAACCCCATGGATCAATGTATATACCAGAAGGTTAGTGGGAGTAAGATATGCTTTCTTATTTTATATGTAGATGATATTTTGCTTGCAACCAATGATAAGGGTTTGCTGCATAAGGTGAAACAATTCCTTTCTAAGAATTTTGATATGAAGGATATGAGTGACGCATCTTATGTCATTGGCATTAAGATCCATAGAGACAAATTTCGAGGTATTTTGGGTCTAACTCAAGAAACTTATATCAATAAGGTTTTAAAGAGATTTTGAATGAAAGATTGTTCACCAAGTGTGGCTCCCATTGTAAAGGGCGATAAGTTCAATTTGAACCAATGCCCAAAGAACGATTTTGAAAGGGAACAAATGAAGAACATTCTATATGCATCTGCTGTCGGAAGCCTAATGTATGATCAGGTCTGTACAAGGCCTGACATTGCATTTGTTGTTGGAATGTTGGGACGATATCAAAGTAATCCAGGTTTAGACCACTGGAGAGCTGCAAAGAAAGTGATGAGGTACCTTCAAGGAACCAAAAACTACATGCTTATGTATAGACGGACGGACAATCTGGAAGTAATTGGTTATTCAGATTCAGACTTTGCTGGTTGTGTTGATTCCGCAAATCAACATCAGGATATGTTTTCATAATGGCTGGTGGAGCTGTATCTTGGAGAAGTGTAAAGCAGTCCTTGACTGCTACTTCCACCATGGAAGCTGAGTTCGTTTCTTGTTTTGAGGCTACTTCACATGGTGTATGGTTAAAGAGTTTCATAGTTGGACTTAAAATTATGGATTCCATTTCTAAACCATTGAGAATATACTACGATAATTCAGCTGTTGTCTTTATGGCTAAGAACAATAAAAGTCGAAGTCGAAGTAAACACATTGACATTAAGTACTTAGCCATAAGAGAGCGAATTATGGAAAAGAAAGTGGTCATTGAGCACATAAGTACTGAATTTACGATCGCTGATCCTTTGACCAAATGCATGCCACCATTGAAATTCAAGGATCATGTAGAAGAAATGGGACTTCATTCCACTATGTAGTTGTATATATAATGTTTGAATAAAACTCTTATTTACTGTGATGTTTTCTCATATTCATGTGCACCTTAATTTCATTTGAGAAAATTCATCTGTAGGACCAAGAATAAATATAGGGTTTATTCATTAAGTAAGGTTGTCATATATAAAGTAAACTTGAGAAATCAAATGCATTGTAATACATTAAAGATAATACTCGTTTTATTTTGAGGACTTATCGCCATGATTCATGTATTTGTTTCTTAATGAAATAATGGTTAAAAATGTGGACCAAATGAGAGAATGTAAAACTTACGTTACATTACGATACTCATGTAATGTAAATAACCTTTTGATTTTCATCAGTTTTAAAGTTGATGGTCCATGTTTGTTGTTCAATTTTCAAATGCTTCAGTTTTCAAACGTTTGGGATTTATGGCAGCCATTAAGCATGCCATTAAAAGCTTGATGGAAGCTTGGCTATGTATATTATTTTGGTCCCTAAGCTCAAGAACTCGAATATATTAAATTATACACCATCAATATTAAAGTATCTTGAGAGCTTAGAAGAGCCAAAATACAGCTCTGTGAGTTTGTTTCAATGGCTGGAGGTAATTCTTGATTCTTGGTTTATAGTTTAAGAATATTATATTCTTTGTATTTCTGTTTAGATTACAGATAAATTTCTTACAGTGTATATGTAAACCATCTAACGTATATGGTGGGGCTCACATTTTTGTTAATTTTCTCTTCATATTTTTGTTAATTTATTAATTGTTTGTTTGTTTTTATTTTAATATTGAGCAGTCAATACATTGGATTTTTTTTGGAACATGTTTCAAATAGTGGGTTTATACTTTTTATTTTTTAAAGATTAAGTATTATTGTTCGTTTCTTTTACTTTTTATTAAGTTTTAAAGATAGTTTTTTGTTAGAAGACTTGAAGAGAAATATATATTAATATTTAGAGTAGTTTTTTAGCAATAAAAATTTGTAATGTCTATTAGTTTCAAGGACTACTTTACTAATAAAAAGAAATGTATCATGGATTGCAATAGACATAAAAATTAGAGACCGCAACAATCCTTTCAATTGTACAGAATAATTATCATCCGATAAGAGTGATACTTTTAGCTTGTTTGATTGAGTTTATCTATTAACCAAAGCGGTTTTTTTTTAATTATTTGATTGCATTTTGAAAGCATTTATAAGATCTAAAATTAAACTCTTTATGAGTTCATTTAAAATGTTAAAAAATATCCTTTTTCCCTTATTATATTTTATAAATTTAACTGAATATATTTTTGCATATTAGATTTCTTTTGGGTAAATTAATACGAGAAAACACTTTTAAATTTTCCTAATCAAATAATTAACAATTTTTTCATAATAACTACATTTTCATGAACCATAAAAAACAGACCCCTATCTCAAATAAAAAGGAGAGAGAAAGAAATGAAAGGGACAAGAAGAAAATAATCTCGATTTACTTTGGATAGATGATATAAAATATAAAATGGATATTTAACTATTTTAATTGTATATCAAATAAATTAATTAAAATCATTGACGACACAATCTTCAATATATTCTAAAAGCATTGAATGGCAAAAGGATTAAATGATCTCAAGAATCATACGAAAATTGCTATATTTTCTCATATCCAGAAGATCTAAATAAGCTAATTGCAGATAATATATTACAAGAACAAGAAATATAGTGAAATTTTCAATCTTTACATCTACCACGATGCTCTTCAAATTCATCATCAAATATTGTCAGTATACAACAATAGCTTCACAATAGTATAAGTTCTACTATAGTTTCGACTTTGAAAATGCTGCCAAGATAAAAAAGCTGAGTAGTTTTGCATGGATTATACTTGCAGAAGGAGCAGTATTATTCACTTGATTTCAGTGAGTCAAGAAATTTCTCACCTCCCATCTGCAATTATGTCATTGAACCAAGTGACGTTTACCTGAGAGAGCAGTGGGTCAACTCCAGAGCTAAGATCAGTTGTATTCTCGGACTGGCTATTCTTTTTGCTTTAACTTCTTGTAGATGAGGATGTATCAATATCTTTGTTCAAAAAGCAGTTTTTCACGTCCTTAAAATTCCAATCAGTCAAATAACTTGGCTTTGAAGTAACAGTTCCCACTTCTATGTCTCCAGCGAGCATGCTAAGAAGGTGTGACATTGCTGGTCGTAATGCTGGTGATGCCTGAGTGCACAAAAGAGCCACTGCTATTACTTGAAGAGCTTCGATTTCATTGAACTCTGTTAATTTGGGATCTATCAACCCCAAACTTTCGTTACTTTCATGAGGACTCCAGGCCTGGAAATAGCATATAGACAATTCAAAAGAATTGAGCTTTTCTTAACTAGAAATCATAGAAGAAAGAAAACAAAACAAATCAATATTCAAATTTATTTCCTTACCCATTCAAGAAGATAAATCTTTTTACAATCCAAGCTAGCATCAGAGTTTGCTCTTCCATTGATAATCTCCAAAGCAACAATACCAAAACTGAATACTTCAACCTTCTCTGTCAGGTGTCCATGCATTGCATACTCCAGTGCTAGATAACCACTGTAAGATAATTAAGTGTTTCTCATGGTTAAAATCCAAAAGTCTGGATATTGCTGTCAAACTGAATTTAATGATCAAACGTATCCCATGTGCCTATTCACCTTTACAATGTGAAAACCATTAACATTTAACAAATCTTGAATAATAACAGAGCAATACAATCACAAATCTAGTCCCCCTAAAAGATTCTAGCATCAATCACTATGTGACAATCAAAGATGATACAAATAGTTCTCTTGACATACATGTATTGCTCTCAGTCATTTTCATCAATACATGTAAGATGAGGTTTTGAAATACTCTAAAACAAAATCTCCAAGGTATTGTTGGTAACTTCCAAGACAGCATATATAGATTACATCATATAATACTCTTGAAGCACATTACAAGTATTAAGGAATAATGGCAGTCAAGAAATGATTGAAGGAGCTTACATGGTCCCTGCAACTCTTGTGCTGATGTGATTTTTCGTGTCATCATACAGTTTTGCCAATCCAAAATCTGATATCTTGGGACAGAGTTTTGCATCAAGTAAAATATTACTTGCTTTGACATCTCGATGTACAATCTTTGGCCTTGAATCCTCGTGAATATATGCTAGACCTCTTGTAGTTCTTATTCATACATTGAACCGTGTAGGCCAATCAAGATGCAAATCCCTTTTTCCTGTAGAAACAATGGCTACAATCATTAAGATCTTCAAGAGTTATTGATATAGAGAATTGAAGATTCAAGAACAATGTATACCCAGGAACGATTGGTGCTCATTAAAACATTGTGAAAAAACAATACTTGACCAAGGCTTTTGTTTTCAAGGTACTCATAAACAAGGAGAAGCCTAGTTCCCTCGATGCAGTGACCACACAATCTCACAAGATTGTGATGTTGTACTGCAGTTATGGTAGCAATCTCATAAACAAACTGATTTTTCCCTTGGTGGGATCCTAGTGAAAGTTGCTTCACAGCTATCACACTTCCATCAGAAAGCGTACCCTATAGCACCAGATTTAATAAAATAAATCATGTCTGCTCCATCCTTGGTGAGTATCCAAGGTAAAATTCACCTGGTTTTTCTGTAAGTATCAAGCTATCATCATACCTTACATACACTACACAGCAACCCAAATTCCCAGTATATTATCAGTTGTTTTGTACTTGTAAACGTAGGATATAAAAGATTATATCCTACGTTTACAAGTCTGAATCCTCCCTCTCCTAGCTTATTTGGGGGGTTGAAGTCTTTTGTTGCAAATCTCAACTTAGCATAACTGAAAGTTTTTGGTTTAGGACCTATTCCAAGTAACACTGCATATTGAAGCAAGATAAAAGATTACATAACAATGAAGGCTTTGCATGACAAGAGATGAATTACACAAGCAGCTTTGCCTATTTCATGGAATATACTATTCCAATTTTTGGAAGCAAAAGCTCAAATATCATGACCATTATAACGATGGGATAATTTAAATCTAGTATACATGTTCTTAGTTGAACTAGAACAAAGTTCAAACTTCTACCCTATATTGTGGGATGCTAAGGTAAAACAAAAATTCATAGATTTTGAAAAACAAACTTGGTTTCAGAGATTTTACCTTCTGCACCATCATTGTCTCTTTTTATCCTCATGTAAAAAAATTAAAAATATAAGTATCAAGCCCAAAATTCCAAGAGCCACTGCAATACCAACAATCAGCCAAGTCTGGTTCTTCTTTCGTGCAATACCAACAGTTGGAGTGAAATCTAAGTAGGAAAATTCAGTTATTGTATATTAGAATGAAGCATAGAAGCACATTTATTGTAACTCATCTTAAATAAAGAGTCAAAAGAATCACATGGTTCACCTGGAATGACACTAAGAGCTGAAATTAATGGCCCATAGTTACCTCCAGTAAGCATGCAGCAGGTCCCTTTTCCAGCCCAAAATAGTTGAATTTCAAGATAGTTCCTGCCTTCTTTGATATGTCAAAATCCTTTGACCGGAGGGTTCCCTACATGAAGGATTATGAGTGATACAATTCTGACTTCTCAGCGTACGAATAGATAGATGGAAATGTAATAGTAGAATCTGTGTATGATAAGGTTATGAAACAAAACATTCCAGCGATTTTTACCTGAATATAGATATCAAAAACACGCCTTCCATGACTCTTTCACGTTAGTGAGCCTTGATCACCAAAACTGTCTCAGAAAAGGACAAGCTCACATTGTAAGGTCCATTCTCAAGACTAAGTCCGTAGTATCTAAGTGATCCAGGGGATTGCCTTGAAATGCGATAAAGCTCCGGGATTGTGGTGCCAGTCACTTGAGAGCCATTATTTTGAACATGGGTATTAGATTGTCCATCAGGAAATCAACCTATGTCACTAACTGCCCATTTTTCTGTATCAAGTACAACAAAAGAAGCTCCACCAAGATCATAGTCATCAGCCTCGTACACTATCTTATCAACTTTTAGCACATCACCACCACCACACTTGATTGCAAAACTTAAATCTGCAATTGCAAAGATAAAAGTTCTGGTGACAATTGTTATCTGAAACTCCTACACCAAATATGTAGACAAAATTGATGGAGTACTTTCAATTAATAACTTAAAGCAACTTAAACAGCTCATGATATATACATTTAACAGACATAGATATCGAAGGAGAGCTATCCACTTGAAGGTTAATAGCCTATGCATGGTTTCCCATCTTTTTATTTATTTATTTATTTTTATTTTTATTTTATCGATGCCCATGAATCCCTTGACCTTTCTCATGAGTTCATTGAGTTCAAAAGCAGAGACTAATGCCAAATCCTACAACTTTGCAGTGTAGAAACTTGTTTAAACTTTGCACTCATGCTGAAAAATGTGTGGTCTGGTCTTAGTCCCTCAACCACAGCCTTAGGGTTCATACTGCTCATTTTTCTGACGAAGGTCAATAATAAACTAAAACAAATTAAGTCAAAATGCTTATACTTTCATATCCCACAACATTCGGATGGCGGGTAGGACATTAAACCTTTCTCTCAATTAACACATTCACTCTGTCATGAGCAAGAGCTTTGCGACACCTTGTAAAATTTTCTTCAAACCTCTTTTACTAATCAAAAATATCAACAGTTAAATCTAACACAAACTAACCTCACTTCTTCCTCTTACCGAAAATTCTTGGTCTGAGATTCAGAAGCATGGTCATTACATGTAAAGCATCAAAGTGCAGTACCAAGATATAATCAGAGAAGTTTAACTTCAGCTAGGAAAAGGGCAAGATATAACTTTAACTAACCTGATATTTGAGCTATCAAATGTGAAATTGTTGCCTACTAGATTCCTGCGCAATTCAATGCAAAGAAGTTTGAAGTGTACTTGCTAGAGATGTATTATATTATACCATAACTTAAGAAATAGTCAATTACATTTCAAAGACATTAGAAATGAGCTCTGCATTATGGTACCCCAAATGGTTATTCCAAGTGACATTTGAAATTATAAGCGCATCAAGGCAATTAGTAGTGTACTACTAACTATTTCAGATTATTGTTACATGATAACAGAAAACACAGTCACTAAAGTGACATGTGTTGGCCATGAAGATGAGTGCCCAACAGATTCTCATACAGTCATCTACTTTTCTCTTTAATCAACAAGATTGTTGTAAACTTCATTATTGATTCCTTCGTATAATCATGTAAAATATTATAATTTATTAACAAAACAAGGAAAGAAGGTACAAGTGAGCTCCACAATGCCTAAGCTCCAAGCAAAGTGAGAAATTTAAAAAAAAAAAAACTAAATAAATAAAATATGGGCAAAGAAATTATAATGGATCGAGAGACATACAACTGTTGTACACCTGTAACCCATGAGGGCAAAGTTCCTGATAGATAATTGTAAGATAAATCTCTGCAAGAAATAGTATGATAAGCACCAGTGAGTAAGAAACATATGCATATAAAACTGAAAAAGAACTACTCAGTTAAGATTTTCAATTGCTTTAATCAATTACTTCTCAAAAGAGAGTGGCTACACTATAGCTTAGATTTTTTAATGGGTTGGCCTAATTCCAAAATATATACAGTATCTGTAGCAGTAGTTCCTTTTTCATTCTTCTTCATTTTGCATGATGAAAGATTTATCTTTCTCTTTCTCCTGTTAATCTATTCCCCAAGTGTTTGGCACTGAAAGCTATATGGAGCATCAAAAATTTCAAGGCGAATACAACAAAATGGACGTATAGCATCCATCTTACTGGACTTGATATAATAGGCATAATCTCTAAAGATAACTGAAATTAAGGCTTACATGCTTTGAAGATGTAGAGCTTTTTGCTTAGGAAGAATTCCTGATAGACTATTGTTTCCAAGAAACCTGGCCATAGAAGCAACAAGCAAAAGAATGCAATATTTAATGCAAGAATAAGGCTTCGACAAAAATTTAAAATAAAAAGCTAACTTAAGTTCTCAAATCAAGAACTGATGGAACTGATGGAGGGAAGCTTCAATAAATTTACAAGTGAGAAAGAGAATCAATACTGAACAAAGCAATGGGGATTTGACCAATTAAGTTGTTGAAACTCAAATCCCTGCAAAAAGGCAGAAATTGATAAAAAAATAAAAAACCAAAAACGACACACACATGAGAGAATAAGAGACAAACTCATGGCAATGCAATACTAACTTACAGAGTCTGTAAACTTTGATATTCTCCAATGTTAGATGGAATGCTACCATTAATCAGAGAATTTCTTAGAGATCTATGGGGGAAAAAGATTGATCGGGGTCAAAATTATCAAGAGATGAACTTACATTGTTTATATCAGTGATTTGCCAACATAGTTAATCCAAACATAACTAATATGATACTTGTCACATTAATTTTTTGAGTTCGTTTTTAGAGTAATATTATCTGAGTTATACCCACAACGTGGTCAAGTTAGAAAAACTGGATGGTATAGGACCTTCAAAAGAGTTTCCCCCAAATTTCCTACAGAAAATTTGACAAACTAGTCAAAAAAATAATCAGAATGCTTAAATCCAAACAAAGCTAAAGAAACCTTTTGCTATCATTCACATATGACACATTTGAATATCATGAAAGAAGTTTTTCATATACTATAGCGCTGTAAGATTGGTCCAGTTCCCCATGAAATCAGGTATTTTTCCTGTCAAAGAACAATCAAATGCCCACCTGAAATTTTAAAAATCACTCATTGTAAGCCAAATTCAGGCTCAAGGTAATGTTCACGCATAGCAACAACAGAAAGCCATAAACATGTAGGTAGGATCTTCCTTACATGATTCGCATATTTCGAAGATTAGCAAATGTTGAGGGAATTTCCCCGCCCAGTACAGAACTATTTATGTTACTGTTAAATTCAAATAAAGAATCTCTTAATTTCATAAGACTGAATTTCTAGTGAGAAAATTACTGCTATACTTAAAAAATTAACAAAGAAAAATATATTAAACAAATGAGTAAGAACCTATATTTGCTCTAGTTTGACTAAGTTACCCAGCTCAGGAGGGAGTGTTCCAGAGAAATTGTTGGAACTTAAAGCCCTGCATGGCATACATCAGAAGAATATAACTCCTTAGTGGTTATTATTTTTTTATTAATTCATACATTTGTAAGGTAAGTATTCACAATTTTCCCATTATCAACATGTTTTTCAACAGAATTTATGTATGAATGTAATTGCAAGTTATGCTAAAGTACAATGGCTTCAACTATGATTTTGAGTTTTCATAAACATAGTATGCAACACGTTGAATCATATGACACTTTTTTTTTTTTAATCTTAAGAGTTTCATTTTTTTTATAGGTTAAAGAGTGTTTACGGTAATCGGTTTCAAAATAAAAACAATGTGATCATCATACAGTCATCGCACTAAAAACTATATGCCGTTGATGTAGGATAGTGAGAGAAGAATTAAAAAAAGAGAAAATGAGAGCAAGAAATAGATAGAATGAGAGAAAATTTTGAAAAAAGGAGAAATCTAAAGAGGAAACAATTTATTCATTATATTGTTTTTTCATCAGTCTCCATGCCAAAGACAAGACAACAAGCCTATTTATAATGGCCTAAAGAAAACAAAATGCTAGAAATCTACCTATAATAAGTCATTCAAATTCTATTCAAAGTGGAAAAAAAAATATATAAAAGCTAAATCTAACTTAAAAAGGTAATGTCTCCAAGCTCCCAAAATAAAATCTTTCCTTGAGTAACAATATTATTTTTGCTCTTGATTCAGCATTAGCCACTCTAAGCAATGCAAAAACTAAAACCAACCTAGTTTTCCTGTTATATTGCTATCTATGACCACGCATTAGATATAATCCATTGCAACTCAAGATCCAGTAAACTATTTATAACATGTAACTTATAAATGTAAGACATAAAAGTTACCTTATAAACTGGTCCAAATCCTCCCTCACCTAGCTTATTTGATACGTCAAAGTCTTTTGTTCCAGATTTCAAATCGGCATAAGTGAAAGGTTTTTGGTTTAGGTCCTATTCCAAGTAGTACTACATATTGAAGCAAGACAAATGATTACATAACTTTGAAGGACTTGCAATAGAAGAGATGAATTACAGCAACAGCTTTGCCTGTCTTATGGAATACACTACTGCTAGCCCATATTTTATCATTGTTGTAACAATGAGATATTATACATCCAGTATTTATGTTTCAGGAGTGCTAGAACATAATTCAACACTTCTGTTACAACCATATTCTGGTATCTACTTTGCTTAGATACCCAGGGCTTGAGCAGAAGTGAATAACACAAATTAATTGATTTTTTCAGAGATTTTATAACTGTTATTACTGTTAAATTTTATTGGATCCTCTTACCTTCCGTGTCATCTTTGTCTTTTCTCATCCTCAAGTAAAAATCTAAAAATATCAGTATGACGCCCAAAATCACAAGAGGGGTTGTAATACCAACAATCAACCCAGTCTAATTCTTCTTTTTCAGTGAGAAGTATATCAGCAAATTAGCACATTTATGGTAATTCATCTAAAAAAAAAAGATTCAGAGAGATCACATAGTTTACTTGGAGTGACACTAAGAGCTAAAATTAATGGTCCATAACTACCAACGGCAGGTACACAGCAGGTCCTTTAGTAGCCCAAAATAGGTGAATCTCAAAATGGTTATCAGTCACATTAGCATCAAAGCTTCTTTGAATTGCTCTTCTAACACTAGCTGCCTCCTTTGTTATGTCAAAATCCTTCAATTGGCGAGTTCCCTACATGATATTTGATGAGAGACAATATTATACTTTTCAATGCAAAATAAATAGATGGCATTGTAATGGTAGGATCGATAAAGGACAAGGGTATGTTTCACAATATCTCCAAATTACAATTTGATGACCGAATGTTTACCTGAATATACACATAAAAAACACGTCTTCCAAGACTCCACCATTTTCTTGAGGTTTGATCTTCATAAATTATTTCAGTGAAGAACAAGTAAACCCCATTCTCAAGACCAAGTCCATAATATCTGAGTGACCCAGGGGATTGTCTTGATGTCTGATAAAGATCTGGTGTTGTAGTGTTAATCACTTCTGAGCTGGTAGTTTGAGGAAGTGTGTTAAATTGTCCCTCAGAAAACAAGCCCACATTACTAAGTGCCCATTTTTCAGGATTTAACACATTAAAAGAAGCTCCACCATCGTTGGCTTCAAACACTATATTGTCGACTCTCAACTGTTTACCACCACACTTAATTGCTAACCTTGAATCTGCAAGTGCAAAGATAAAAGCTCTAATGATAATATCAATCTGAATACAGCAAAGAACCAGACAAAATTTGAGAAGTACTTTTATTTTAACAACTTCTAGTAACTTAATACAAAGATCATCACTAAATCAAACTATAACAGCTTTACACACATTTATCAGACATGGAGCTTGATGGAGAACTATTATTTTGAAAGTTTATGGCCAATGCATACAAATAAAACAATAGAGTTAACAAAAGGAAGGAGAAACAAAGAATCATTAGTTCAAATGTTTTCGAAATTCAGATCTAATGATGAAGAAGAAGAGCAATAAATATATCATTAATATTTACCTACTAAATGATGAAGAAGAAGAGAGATTGATTAGTCATACCTAATTTTCCATCGATTTGGTGATCTTGCCATCAAGTCGAATGTACGGGATATGAGAAATCTTGGACCAATCTTCACCTGCCTTCGGTTCACATCTTTCGCTCAATTTAGGACTGTCTTCAATTACTAGTTCTCTCAAAGAGATGAGACGATCCATATCCTTGGGTAAAGATGACAATTCTGGACATTTCCTAATATTAAGAACTTGAAGTTTTTTCATCGACTCTGGTAGTGCCTTCAAGTTGGAACAATTAAAAATATCCAACCTTTCCAAAGTGTTAGTGGAACACTGAATAAGCCATTGCGGGAATTCCACCAATTGTGGTAATTCTATCATACGAAGAAATCGAAGGTGAGGCCAAGTGCTATTGAGTTCATCATGATTGTCTTGCTTATCCGATCCTATGCTCAAATCAAGATTAAGCCTTTCACAACTTATCAAAATAAGATCTTCTAATGAGCTTAGGCTTCTCACACCACGTGGTAATGTGATAAGACTTGGACATTCAGAAATCACTAGAGTTTGAAGAACTCTTAGGTGACCAATATCTTCAAACAAATGTTCTAAATTATTGCAATTGAAAATCCCCAAACGTTGAAGAGAATTCAAGCAACCAATACCATTGGTTGGTAGATGTTTTTGTATCGTAGTTAACACGAGACGTCTAAGACTAATTAAGTACTTTACATCTCTTGTTAACGCCTTTAATTCCTCACAACCCAATAGTGATAGATATTGCAAATTTTGCAGCTTGTAAATGGAACTTGGGAGTTCTTTTATTTTAGGGTTGCTTCCGAGATGAAGATATCTCAAATGCTTCAAATTACCAATTTTTTTAGGCACTACTTCAATATTTGAAGAAAATAAATTTAACATCCGCAAGAATTTGCACCTTGAGACGATTAATTCCAAAAATGATTGGCTAATACCAGTACTTTTACCGATAATTGGATAAAAAGTAAATGCTTCTCAGATGACCCAAGTTAGGTAAAATGTATAGAACATCTATTATAGGTGCATCAACAAAATGAAATAATAAGTGTCGATGACTTTTGGTACAAATTTGGTTAGTGGATTTCACTATTAATCTCTCATTTCTCATCAATGATGTGGCAAGATCATGCATGAGATCATGAATTTTAAACAAGTACACATTCTCATAAATTTGTTCAATATCTTGGAAAAAAGATCTCAACATTAATTCTTTTATATATTGCATACCAATATTTTCCAAATCTTGATTTTCATTGTGGGGTTGAAGAAGCCCATGGGCTATCCAAAACCAAACCAATTCAGCACTATAAAAAGGATGGCCTTTTGGAAAAATGGAACAATAAAGAAAACATTGTTTCAAGTGAGGTGGCAGATGATTATAACTGATTCTTAGAGCATTTAAAATGTCATTTTCATTTTGATCCAACTTCCAAATCTCATTATCCCTCAAATTTTTCCAATCTTGTTCAGAAGTTGAGGAATAAAGTAGACTTCCTAATGCTCTTACTGCCAATGGAACACCTCCACATTTTTTTACAATTTCTATTCCAATTTCCACAAGGTTGGGATGTTGCTTTTCTTGCCCTTCTTTAAATGCACATTTAACAAACACTAACAAGCAATCATCAAGAGAAAGACCTTCTAACTTGTATGTAGGTATAGTGCCCATAATTGAGGCAACACGATCACTACGTGTAGTTACGATAATTTTACTTCCACTAACACATTCCATCAATAAATTTTTTAATTCAAACCACAACCCATAATCTTCATTCCAAACATCATCCAAAACTAGCAAATATTTTTCATGGCTTAAGATATCACGTAGGATTATTTGCAATTTGTCAGTGCTCTTGTCAACATATTTTTTCCCAGTTGCAGATTCGATGATTTCAATTAATAGTTTTTTTAAAACAAACTCATCTGACACACAAATCCACATTTTCAACTTAAAAAATTCGTCTGCCATTTTATCATTATACACCAATTTCGCAAGTGTGGTTTTTCCTAGACCTCCTATGCCAACAATAGGAATGACGGAAACAATTTCATGGCCATCACTTGGACGTAATAGTAGTTTCATAATCTTCTCTTTATCTTTATCCCTACCAATAACATCTGAAGCATGCACAAATGAGTGAGTTTCCCTCTCCCTCTCCCAACCTATAACTTGATTGCTATCAACTTTCTCAGTGAGATTAAAATTATCCTTATCAGCTGTTATTTTTGCTAACCTCTCTTTAATCTTCTTGATTTTATGCCCGAACGTAAAACGGAAAGCAACTGGATTTGAGGATGAAAAAAAGTGGCGTACCTTTTTTGTACTGCTTTGACTACTCACCACTTGGTTACGCAAATCTTTCACCTCAATCTCGTCTAAAACATCTTCGACATCGTAGCAGAACCCCTTAAGCTTTCCTAGCCAAACTTTGAGCTTCTCATTATGGATCTGCTTGTCCTCAGCATCTAAGAGAACAGCTTTGATAGTGGTTAAGGTGTCAATAAGCTCTTGTGCATCTTTCCGAACACCCCATGCAAAGCCCATTTCATTGGAAGCAAGGGAGAATAGCTTACCCAAGAGTTTCTCAGCAATAACAGAGACGATTGTTTCTGCCATATCTTTGAAAGAAAAGAAAATTGCAGGATTTTGTGTTTGTGAAGTAGTGAAGTTTGAATTGTTGTATGAAATAATGATAAGCGAGCATCTGCATATCATCACTTTGACCAAAGGAAATTTCCGACACGTCGCATTCTGCAACTTGCAAGCTTGCTTAGTTAGCTGTATGAAACCAACTGGAATCGAACACGTATGAATAGATCAGGCAAGACACACGTGGCAGTAATCAGATCACAAACCCGATTATAATTAAACATGCAACTAATGGAGTATAATTTAATTAATAATTAATTGTATGCTGTATTAGAGACAAGAGTTAAAATAATTAATAACAACTTATTTGCACTTTTTTTGTTTTGTATGAGAATTGGTGGCCACCCTTTGTCAGAATCAATAAATTCAAGGACCATAAAAAATATTTTTGTTTATTTTTTTCTGGTAGCATTGTGAACGGACAAACATGCCAGGTGGGTTCATCACCACCGTTGTAATGTTAAAGTGGAAAGCTAAGTAAGGAACACGATTCCTTCTCTGAATTGTATAATCCTAAACCTAACTATTTTGTATTTGAAAGTGAAGTATAACTACATTTCATAAAGCTAAAGCAAATGGTATCGATGAGTCCCCTCATTTCTTTTGATTTTATTTTTTAAATTCATTATTTTTATAGAGACTACTGCTAAGAACCATGATTGGGCTACGAAGTCCTCAAATAAAAAAAAAAAAAAAAGTCATATGTGTAATTTTTTTTAACATTTGGTTTGATGAAATAAATATAATTTAGTACAGCCAAATCTAGATTCTTTGATGTAGTACCTATAAAATAAGATCTTTCAATCTTTTTATCTTGTCTACTTACGGAAAAAAAAAAAAAAAAGATGATATTTAGAAGTTATTTTTAATTTGAAATTATTCTGTAAGTTACAAAATTATTAAGTTTTTAATTTTTTTTATGAAATTAAGAGACGAACTCACATTATTTATACAGTGATTTGCGTACACAATCAATTAAAACATCACTAATATGATCATTTAACTTTTTAACTTAGTTTTTAGAGAGAAATATTATCTGAGTTATACTCACATTATCATCAATGTGATCAAGTTAGAAAAACTAGATAGTATAGCACCTATCAACAGAGTTTCCGCCAAATTTCTTGTTTTTACGAGATGACTCTTCTAATGTGTTTTCGGTTCAACTAACCTATGGGGTCATCACTTCTAAGGTCTTTGATTGACTCTTTTTTGTGATAATGATATCATCATCTTGGAATTAATGAAAGAAATTCTAACTTTTTAATCGCGGGAAGGGTCCAACTACTGTCAGCCTTCAGGGGGGTGACTAGCGTTCTAGCCTCCACTCATCAATCACGGTGTTCAGACCCACCAACACACTCATCAATCACGGTGTTCAGACCCACCAACACACTCATCAATCACAATATTGGCAGTTATTGTTTTATTATTTCTATCGATTTATTATTCTTGAAATTCAATTTTATTCTACTTCATTTAAAATATTTAGATTTTTTTAATTTTTATATTTATTAATTTAATTAAATACTCCCAAACAATAGAAAATTTATAAATTAACAAAAATATCTCTATCTACCCACATATTTCTCACAACTGTAATAGATTATCGATATTTAATAGGTGGGTGAGAGTGTTTTTATTAATTTTAAAACTTTTATTATAAAAAGTGTTTAATTAAATTAACAAATATAAGGGATTAAAAAATAATTTTACCAAACACATTTTTAAATTCAAATTTAGGTGTCAAGATAATGTGTCCTATCATCAAGTTTAGTGGAATTATTCTGGGAGAATAACTTTTTCACCCCCAAGGTTTGGCTGAACGACACTTTTCCACCCATCAAGTTTCATAGTGACATTTTCTCACCCTCCGTTAAATTCTGTTAGTATTTTCTGTTTTAAAGAAGGGTAATATAATTAATTTACATCGAACCACAAAAATAAAAAATAAAAAATTGAAATCTTGGGTTTAGTGCTGAGTGGTTGCCAAGTGAAGTTGACTTTGAAAAAAATATCAAAAAGTTGCGTATCTTTTTCTCCCATATTCTATTGTAACTCTCTCTCCTCTGAAACTGAAGTGACGCTCTCTAAAACTGAAGCACTGCGACCTAGAGTTCTATCGTAACTCTCTCTGCTCTCTGAATCTGAAGGTTTTCTCTCTGTTTTGTCGTAACCCTTTCTTCTGCTCACATATTGGCTTCTTTTCCAAACGTAATTGCCTTCTATTTTGGTATTTTCTTGGGCTGATCATGGCAGTGGTTTGAATGCACGACAATTCCGTTGATATTTAGTGTTCTTCCTGTTCTTCAAAACTGAAGCAATTGGGGACTTAAGGTTTTTGTTTTATGTTAAACTCTGGGGGTTCAGTTGATTTCCATAACTTTAAATTCTTGCATCGTGCTGTTGCATAACCATTTTGTTCTTACAAGGTTCAGATACACCCAATGGTAGTAATTTTTAACAGCATGGTTTTGTTTGTCTTTGAGTAGGCTGATCATTTGCACAATTTTTCAAATTTTGACATAGGGTACTTTGTTCTTGTACACTGTACTTCTGTGATAATTTGACATTACATTCAAGTCTATTGGCGATCATTGTCACTTTTATAAAGTGAATGGATTATTCATTTTAGGAGTTTGGTAGTATTTTAGTATGCTAACAGTTTTATGTGACAATTTGAGACTTTGTTTTTTTTGGTGTTAGAAGTTTTGCGTATAACCTCATTGAATAGACTTGTGGTTTTTGTTCATATATCAAATATGTGGTAACATATGGAATGGACTTTAAATGCAGAATCCTCATATACTTTTGCGTGAGGCTCTCTTAGATCAAGTGGTTGAGTTGTTCCATTGCTTGCATAGTGCAACTTTGGCTCTTCTACCATTTGATTACAGAGACACACACATAAGAAAAAAAAAATAGCATGTTCTTAGTTACAGAAACTTTTTCAGATAATAAAAATAAAAAATGAAGAAAAAAGCTCTTTAAAGTGGCAAACAAGAGTTTGGACATCGTTTTTCAACCTACAGTCGCTTGAGAGTAGAAGTTATTGTGGACTACTGTGCCTTTTTTTTTTTTTAATCAACTTAGGGGCAGGAAGGTTGAGGATGTTGATTTTAGAAATAATGCAATGGCCTAAATAAATGTTTTAACAGTATAATGATGATATGATGGATGAGTAGGAAGGTTAGAAAAACACAAGTTCTTTAAAAGATCAAGTGCAGGGAAGCCTACAGTAGAAATGTGGAAAGTAGACATGAAGTTGCCAGTGTGGTGAGTTGATCTGTTACTGTTAGTTGACATAAATTCAAGGTGTACTATATTTTTATTGGGTTTCAAGTTTCAACTGACAAAAATTATATATATATATATATATATATATATATATATTATATATATATATTATATAATATAGATATGTGTGTGTGTGTGTGTGTGTGCGCGTGCGCGCGGGCGCGTTGCAATTTTATAATTTGGATTATTTTGGATTCTCACTTTCAAATATTAGTAATGCTAGTACTTTGTGCAATAACTATAAAGGCAAAATGGTAATTCTATAGGTTTTAAATGTTTAAAACTCCAACCTTAACTTCATACATTTAAGACATTATTTTTAATGAAAAACAAGGACACATTGATAATTCAATTTTCATATAAAGTTGAGGATATACTAGTAATTTCATATTTGAAAAGTGGGTATTTTGGTAATTGATCCTATTGATATGAAAAAAATTATAAAGTCAAATATGTAAGGGTATTTTTGTTTTTTTAATCAAATATTAACAGAAAACATTAACATAACCTAATAGAGGGTGAGAAAATGTCATTTTGAAACTTGAAGGGTGGGAAAGTGTCATTTTGCCAAACTTTGGGGGTGAAAAAGTCGTTCTCCCAATTATTTTAGACATAACTCACGAGACTTTAGTCCCCAGTGGTGTAATGTCCTACTATAAGTGGGATCCTATGTTTATCAATAAAAATATATCTTTTTATCTTGTTTACTTAAAAAAAAAAAATGATACTTAGAAGTTATTTTTAATTTGAAATTATTCTATAAGTTACAAAATTATTATGTTCTGCATATTTTTTACGAAATGAGACGAACTCAAATTACTTATACAATGATTTGCTTACACAACCAACTAAAATATCACTAATATGAAATGGTGTGACTTCAACTTTTTGACTTACTTTTTAGCGAGAAATATTATGTGAGTTATACTCACAATATGGTCAATGAGGTCAAGTTAGAAAAAATGGATGGTATAACACCTTCGAAAGAGTTTCCTTCAAATTTCTTGGAGAATAATTGGACAGACTAGTCAACAATGTAATCAGATTAGTCATTAAATTCATTTTTTTAATCGCGGGAAGGGGGCCCACTACTTCCAAGGGGGAGACTGGCGGACTAGCCTCCCCAATTTCCACTCATCAATCACGGTGTTCAGACTTCAGACTTCAGACCCACCTACCCACTCATCAATCACGGCATTCGAATTAGGTGACCAACTTTTTACAATTGTCAACTAATTTCTTCAATTCAGAAATTGAGCACGGCAGTTCGATTCTAATTTCTTAAGGTTTGGAATATATTAAACTTAAGGTTACCTTTGGTTTAAGGTAATATAAGATTAATCTAGTAATCTTTGTTTAATTCTTAAGATTTCTTTATTTAGTTGTCAAGTAATAAAATATTACCTAATCTTTTATTGTAAATAATAGAAGTCTGGTGTTTATTATTAGTAATATTAGGGATAATCAGATTACTTTTTCAATGGGTGTTAATATAAGATTACTGAGGTAATTTTAATTTTGACCCTATTTTGCCCTTAATCTTTTATCATTGTAGACATAGTTGTCCTCATATGTTTACTAAATAACAATTAGCTTAGACCCTCCTACATTTGAGAATTTAGCTAAAACACTTCAACCACAAAAAAATTTAAAAGTTAATAAAATACCCT